GATATGAATCAGATTTTTTCAAATGCGACCCGTGTCTAAACGGCCAGGTGACCTCCACAAAGGTCACTATTCTGCGTCTTAATACGCCGAAGCAGGAAGAAAAACAACAACCATGGTGGACGATGATGTAGAATACGGTCTTTATTTTCAACCCTCTTGAAAAGATTTTACTGTTAAAGCACCGACTGAGGTTGGAATAGAAATGAAGGACTGCTAGATGCGTCCCAGCGCTAATATAGATGTTTACGTCTGTGAACGCAGAGCACGCTCAGTTGTGACGTCATTGCGTTCTCCACTTTTGCGTGCAGTTCACACAGGAGATCACATGCAAGTCACAAATATTTGATTATGTGAACAACCAAAAAAATTACAAAAAAATTGGAATTGAGCATTAAGGCTCGCAGTGTGAACGTAGCCTAGGAAATATTACTGCTGTGGCGTTTCTTTAATGGGAGCCGTAGCTGGTAATGATGAGTGTGAGAACTGGTTTCCTTCAGAGAAAACGTGTTAAACGCTGCGGCTGCAGATCAGAGCTGCGCTTTAAACCAGGTTGTCTCTGCAGGAGCTGCACCCCATCTTCCCCTGGCTGGTGGAGAGCGTGTTTGGAAGTCTGGATGGGATCATCTCTGGCTGGAACCTGCGCCTCCTCCACTCCCGGAGCCACGAGTACGCCATAGTTTTGGACTTTCTGAACCCCAGGTAGAACCCGTTTGTTCCTGCGTGACCAAAGCTTCATTCATCTGTACAATCAGAGTAATCAATCTATTTTTTATTTTTTGCTCTTCTGTCTTTTCAGCGGCCCGATGATGAAGCTGGTTTATAAAATCCAGGCTGAAGAATACAAATATGAACTTCCTGTCAACTATCTCCCGGTAGGACCTTCCAGGATGTTTCCGTGTTTTTCATCTAACTCCCCTTCCAGTTGTCTTGAACGCTCTCATCCTCTTTCCTGGCTGTTTACACTCCTGTATACAAAATGACAAAATAAAACTAATTAAAAAATATTTTATGTTCCATAATAAACCTCCAGTTGTATTCAAAGAAAGGTAAATTTATCAATGTTTTAGCTCATAAAAAGCAACTGCATATTTAATTTATTTTATGCATTAGCTAATTAATTTGATTATGCAGTAACTGATTTATTGACTCAGTTACTTTTTTGGAGAAGTTACAAGTAACTTTAGTTACCTGTTGTTAGAACCCGTCTAGGGGTGGCCAGATCATAACATGAAAGATCCTCTTCAGATCCCAAGCAGTAAACACAAAGTAAAGTTCAACATTTTATTGTGTTGTTTATAAAAAAAAAAGGGTATTTTTGAAATGTTACAATAATTGGTGCATATGAATTCAGAGAGAGATGAGGGCGAAAGCAGCAAACAAAAGGAAACTATCTGAATGATAACCAACTTACCTATTTTTTTTTCACAACAAAAACATAAAAATAGAATAATGTTTCAGTAAAAAAGAGAATGTGATGGACAACTGCCCAAAAACCCTCAAGGGGCTTAATGAGGTAGCCTCGTGAGACCATCCTGATCTCGCGAACACTGCTCTGGAGGCTTTTCTCAGAGGAAAAGATGTTTTTGCTCCTCTCCTGACTGGTTTCGGCAAGAGTAGCCTTCCCAAAATTACTTCAACGGAAGGTTTCCAGATGGATATGCGGAGCAAATCCATCTGGCGGAGTCAGGTTATTAATGAGTGGCAGTCTCCATAAAAACAAATATATTTCACCATTTCAGACATCTATATCATATTGTGTAAAAAAAAAACAAAAAAACAGCATTTCTTTGTATAAAACAAATGAAATAAACAAATGAAAGTAAATTAACCAAATCACAAAAACTCACCTCCCTAACTAAGAAAAACGGCAGCTAAACAAAAACAGCAGCTCGCTCCTACAAGCTGCAGAACTTTACAGGATGTTTAAACAGTTTGGTCGGTTTAGATGAGCTGAGGATGAAACGCAGGAATCAGCGACGGCCACCTGTACACTCATATTTACATAAGTTGACGACGCCATTCGTAACACCTGTATGAAAACAAAGCCTGGATGCTACAGGATCAGCTGAAGGACTGAAACGTTCCTGCCGTGATTATTTCGTCTTTAAAAGCTCTTCTCGATCCTCTAATGGACGTGTTTGTTTCCAGGGTCCTGTGAAGGCCTGCATCCAGGAGGGCGTCCTCCCAGACTGCCCTCTGTTCCACAACAAGCTGCAGTTCCCGCCGCCAGGCGTCATGACTCCGAACATCGCTCTCAGTATCCTTTAAGAGTCAAAACGCCGCCTAACGGCTCACATCAGTTTATTTCTCCTCTTCTCTGCTTCTTTAAAAGGGTTTCATCCACAGAAGTTTCTTAGAATCTAAAATGATAGGTTTTCTTGTCTCATTCCGGGAAAAATAATCCCCTTTGAAAGTAAAACGATTCCTCAACCAGCTGCAGATCCTTTTGAGTTCTTCATGTTTCATTTGGCCTACTGCCTCGTCGCTCCCAGGGTGAGTTCTGCTGCTTCACAGGCAAAAACAAATGTCCAGTTTCAGATGGTTTTCATTTCTTCAAAGCTAATCAGCATCACTGTCTGTGTGTTCAGTGTATATAAAACTGAAATCTATTGGTTAATAATTTGCTCAGTGTTTCTTATACTTGTTGTTGCTTATTATTTCAGTAATATCACTTAATCAAGCTTTTTCTTACTAGAACATTAGTATAAGAAATTTGCACACAGTCAGAGATCAGCATCTATGTGTGTCAAGACTCAAAGCTCCGGTTTCGGTGTGGTAAAGTGGATGGGAAACTGTTGTATGGGGACATTGCTAACCTACATGAGGACAGTATCTGAAATAACCCAGAACTGTTTCCACTGAGGAAGGAAAAAAGTAAACAGTCCAGAGAGGCTTCCTAGAGGCCTGCAGCAGCATCAGAGGAGTTCTATTAATCTCACATCTGGGGTCAGATGCAGCACAGAAAACTTGTCTTATAAATAAAAAAAGAAAATCAAATCTCTGCTGAAATTTGCACAAAAATACTTGGAGTCTCCCTTAAGCAGCTGTTAGCATCAGTGAGACAACCAAGGTGGAACATTTAGGCCATGATCAGTTCACATCAGCTGTGAAGCACAGTGAGGGCGGCATCATGCTCTGGTATTTTAGAGCCTAGTTAATCCTAGGGAATTATGAGCATTACCAAACAGCAGAAACTTTGGGTTTGTGGCTGAAGATAAAGAGGAACTTCACCCTCTGGCCACCAGGAGGAGTCCTAACTCCTAGATTTGGAGGGTTTACGTAGAGAAGATTAAATGAGCAGACATTGGCCTTTTCTCAATTCACAAAAACTGAGTACGGAGCCAAGTCTGTTCTGGAGAAGAACACAGGACAGTCTGGACTCTGGGAGTCTCTAGATAATAATAAATTCAAACTTTTTTCATTTAGTGGGGGAATAATAATGAACACAGTAAGATAAACACAAATCAAATTAACATTTTGCCAAATAAGACAAAAAAATAAATCTCCATCAGAGCCAGCAGTCCTTCAAACACGGCTATGCAGGGAGAGGGCTGCTATTGACGGGCTGCGGTTAGCCCTGGCTGCCGTTAGCTTTGGAGCTTCACTGGTTGCCGCGGTCCTCTTAACTTTGGATTTTTTTTTTTTTATTATTACGCATTAAATCAGTAAATTACGGAAGAGGATTAGGGCCATTAAAAAATAAAAAAGATAATTGATTTTTTAATTTTATTTCAATTTAATATCGGGAAAAAGTCAGAATTCTGACTTTTTTCTCAGAATTCTGACTTTTTTTCTCAGAATTCTGACAGCTAACAAACATGTTAGCATCAAGCCATAGCCATGTCTGTTTTAGAGACTAGCTCTCTTGTTTTAATGACCTTCTGCTCCTCCATTAATGAGGGGACCCCTCAGGCACGTAAAAAGTTGCCTAATTCCATCATTTTCCACCAATGTGTCACTGGCCACCTCAGACAACTCACATCTTTGTCAGTAAAGCTGAGTGCTCCACATCTCTTCCTTCATGGTGCCCATGGTACATTAAGATCCACAATTCTGAGATAAAAGTCAGAATTCTGACTTTTTTCCCATGTTAAACTGAAATAAAATTAAAAAATCAGTTAACTTTTTTTTTTTCAGTGGCCCTCATCCTCTTCCGTAGTAAATGGGCCATATAATGACGGTTTAAAGTATATTCTCGCCTCAAATGATCTTAAAACGCACTTTTATTGAACAACAGCAACAGAAAAGAGAACTTTCAATGGAGCGCCTTATTGAAAGCTGCTGCTGCCGCAGTGCATGCTGGGACAGCTGTCAATCTCAGGAAAGGATGAGTCTGCTCTGATTAGTGCTGGGTAAAGAGGGCGGGGCGAGAACAACATCAAACTTCTCGACAATAAGAAAAGTTCTCAGGCTGAGGCTGATGGGGTGTCACGAGAACGCTCAAGAACAGCAGACTGAGAACGGACTTTGTCTGTTCTCAGTCTGCTGTTCTTGTGAATTGGAACAATACTAGGGCTTATGCTGATGACGTTTCACAGATACACGAGCACATGAGAACGCACACATTGAGAAATGTCCATCATCTCTGCCAAGGCAGGCAAGTTTTCAGAAGCTTTGCTTTTCAGGATTATGAAGTCATGGACGTATGGCTCCCACATTTTACACATTTTCTATTTTCCAGATCATGAACTGGATTTAGGACAGTTTCTAAAGAATTTCCTACAATTATGAGAAATATGTTTGGAGTTCTGTTCTGTCAGAGAGCTTTCAAACTGACCCAGAGTCGTTACTAAAACCAGGCTCTGTCCTCTAACTAAGTTTAACTTTGTGCTCCAATCTACCCTCTGCCCTCAGAACTGCCTCCAGCCTCAGCTCAGCAGCTCCACAGACAGCGCCTACTTCGTGCTGGTGGACATGTACCTGAAGTACTTCCTCCCCGTCGAAGGAAGCGTCCCTCCGTCTCCGTTCTCGGACGCTAGAGGCTCCGTCACGGCTCCGTCACCACGGTAACGATTCATCAAACGAAGACATTTGAAAATTTTAACACTTCAGGTTATGTATAGAGGAACCGAAGAAACAAAAATATTAGAAAGCCGAACAACGCTGAAAATATGCTAATTATTTAACTGAAAATGTAAAAACTGTAAAGTGAAAATGAGTGTCAGTTTGTTATTGTCGTGCATCAGAAAACAAGTCAATAGATTTGTCTCTCGTCATGTTTTGAGGGAAAATTTTGTTAAAATCTTAAGGATTTAAAATCCTTAAATATAGTTAGAAAACACTGGAATGTTTCCACGTTTGAAGATGTTTCTCTTCCCATCCAGGAAGCTTTTTCAATTCAAAATGTCAGAAATAGCCTGGAGTTCGATGCTTCATTTTTTTTTAGAAAACATGCAAACTGAAACAGACGAATGGGTCCCCCCCTTTGGAATGAGGGTCGTTTGGCTTCTTTGTTAGCCTGGGACACCCCATACCTGTCTATGTCTCTGAACGGGGGGTCGTTAAACAGGTATGGGGCATTGCAGGCTAACAAAGAAGCCAAACGCCCCCATTCCAAAGGGGTGGACCCGTTCGTCTGTTTCAGTTTGCATGTTTTCTAAACAAAAACAAGGCTTTGTTTTTGGTCCACTCTATAAAGGCTCGAACTCAAAACAATTTCTGACATTTTTAATTGAAAAAGCTTCCTGGATGGGAAGAGAAACGTCTTCACACTTGGAAACAAAGTCCAGTGGATTGCTTTTTGAATATTTTGGAATGACTATGACCTGGATGACTGAGAATCTTCACCAGCATATCTTTAAATATAGCAACAAACAGAGACAGCAACAAAGCTTTTATAAAGGTATTCATTCTGAATCGTGCTGCGTTTTTTATTTTGCTGTGACGGTTCCCCACGAACATTTAGATGAAGCAGAAACTCTGATTCATCTTCTAATATTAAAGGAGGAGCAGCTCTGAGCAGGAGACAGACTCCCGGTGCTTTTAGTTACAGTCAGGAAAAGATGATTGATTTATTAAAAGCTGTCTTTTCTCCCGCCCAGAGCCTCCAGCGTGTCGTTTGCTGGTTACGGCGTTCATAGCCCCAGCCTCCTGAAGCACCATATTTTCCACCAGCCGTCTGTGAACGCAGACCCTGCAGCCCAGGAGATCTGGAGGTCTGAGACGCTGCTGCAGGTGAGAGAAGCTCCACCCGGCTGGGATCCACAGCTTCAGACACCAAACAGCATCCCTTCAGACATTAAGAGGCTTTAATGTTTTACTCATATAAACACTGTTTAATTGGAGGGAAAATTCTTAGAAATTATTACCAAGAATTGGTATTTACTGGCATTAATTAAAGGGGAAGATCTGCAGGAAAAGTCCCACAGTCAGACGGCTGCATTGATGAAGAGCAGCCTCCATAGATGGAGCACCTGCTCCTCCTCCTCAGACTCTGAACTGAGAGACTTTAGAGGAATTATTTACTCAAACAGATCTAAATGCTGGGTGCTCTAAGGCTCTGTGTTTGTCCAAGAGCATCTATATAGATAGATATAGATATATAGATATAGCCATGTCCTGAATTCCTCGTTTTACGGCCACTTTTGTTGAACTTTGCATATATGTATATGTATATTAGGGATGGAACGGTTTATGAAAACCCGCTGAACCGTTCGGTTCGACTGTCTCGGTTCGGTTCGCTTGTGTTGCGTTTGGCTGCTCCTTTTTCTCATAGGGGAAGCGTTTACACTCCAGAGCAGAAGGTGGCGGTGCTGCGACCAAAACCAACCACCAGTAGTAAACAAGAAGAAGAAGCGAAGCAGCGTAGCCGGGTGTAGCAGAAAATAATCAGTTGTTGTGGAGAATTGTGTGGGTATGGCGAGTGGGAAAGAACAGGAGTTGGAAGACGCGCCAGCAGCACTTTATAGGTCTGCTGTATGGGACCACTTTGCATTTAGAGTGACCTACGATGACGGCGGAAAGAAAGTTGAGGATAAACACAGTGTGCAAGCATTGTGCAACACGTTTTGTTTATGCTAACAGCAACATGACCATAATAGATTTTCCTAACAATCAACATGCACCCTTCTGGACTGAGGTGTCTGATGTATTTCCAGTAATCTGCTGTAACCATTCCTCCAGTTTGGGGGTCACTGCCTCGAGTGCCCTTATATATGAAAGTCATGGGTATTTGTTGATGGCATAACATTTATTTCTAAGAGCATTAAAAAGCATTAAATCAGAGTTACTCATTCCTGTATAAACCCTGAGTTTATTCACACACCTTCTGCTGAATGGGGGAGGAATCCCAGCAGTAAGTTTTTATAGACCGATAATATGGGAATCCTTCTCTGTCGTGAGTGTGTGAACAGAAGGAAATGTTTCCTGAATGTTGATTCTCTTTGTGATGTGAGCAGTAATGGGTCAGGATCGGGCCTCCCAGGGTTAGAGGTGCTGAAACACTGATGATGAAGTAAAGCTGCGGTTTGTCTGCGTGTCTCTAGATGTTCGTAGAGATCTGGCTCCACCATTACTCCTTGGACATGTACCAGAAGCTGCAGTCTCCTCAGGTAAAGGTAAGATCTTTACTCCCCCCCACCCCCTCCTCATCCCTTCCTTACCTGCGCTACATGGCTGTCGATTGGCTGATCCTCTCACCATCAGACCAGCTGATGTTCCTGCATAGAACCTCATTCATCTATAAATGGATTCCTTTGGTCTGAGCTCCTGATGAACCGTGCTGCAGAGGAAACATCCCTCTACTGTGTTCAGAGCATCAGCAGTTTAACCAGTTCAGATCAGATATTGATTTGATGTTGAAGAAGCTGTTTGCTGCATGAAAACAGCAGAAATCTCTGTTTCAAACCCAAAACAACCAGATGTTTTACTTCCTACTGTTTGGTCTAAAGCTGCTGCGGTCAGGAGTCGAGCATGTTCCTGTCGCTTTGCTCCTCCTCACATCCTCTGCATGCTGCATGTCACCAGTTTGATGTTGTGGGAGGAACGCCCCTATGAAGTCACCAGAGTCAGAGAACATCGGTTCTCATCCAAGCAGATCTCTGTTCTTCCTACCTGCAAAACTGAAAAGAGCGACCTTCTGCAATAAAATAAAACCATGGAGACAGTGGAGAACAAAGTTTATTGTGTTGGAGATAAAGATATTTCTGCAAGGCAAATTTTTTTGTATAGCACGATTCAGTACAAAGACAATGCAAAGTGCTTTACATGATTAAAATATAGGAAAATAAAACAGAATCAAAGCAAGTAGGAAAAAAAAATAAAATAAAAATGCAGAAACAAAAAAGAAGTTAGTTTTTGAGCATGCTCAAATTATAAGTTGACTCTCTAGGACACGCCCCCTCCTCATTTACATAGTGAGGCAGAAATGCATAGAGAAATGTAAAAACAACAGGCAGAAATAAACAGCGGCGAAGAAATAACTAGCATAAAAAAATACGAAGGAAGAATAAAACAGACAAAAATATTATAACATGCACATAAATAAATACTTGAAAATATAAGTCATTAAAAAATAAAGTTGAACATTATAAAGGACAAAAAACAAATAAGGTAAATATTACAAAGGGAAATAAATAAAGAAGCTAATTAAAAGAGTTATATACGTTTATGTCTCACTGTATAATTTCATTTCTACTTACGGTACATTTATTTGCTGATTGTATTTTGGGGGCAATTAATTGTATGCTTATTTATTTATTGAGCATTTATTTATTTCTGTATTTATTTTGAAATCGGCAATGTTGGTCCTCCATTACGGAAGAGGATTAGGGCCAGCGGAGGAAATTTTATTTCAGTTTAACATGGGAAAAAAGTCAGAATTCTGACTTTTTTCTCAGAATTCTGACTTTTTTCCCATGTTAAACTGAAATAAAATTTAAAAATCAGTTAAGTTTTTATTTATTTTTTTCCAGTGGCCCTAATCCTCTTCCGTACTCCATAGTTGACCCGCAGACCCGATCAGAATAAATAAACTCTGTGCTGAGACTAAATGCTGGCGTTCCTCCCAACAACATGCATGGCAACACGGACCAGACGGGGATTCATGGCGTGGTCCCACAGGACTGTTTCCTCTGGACTCCTGCTGCAGGAATGTTTGTTTAAAACCACAAACGTGCAGAACTTTAAGGTTGAAGTCAGAGCTGTGGAGCTGCTGTTTGTCCTGCTCTGTGGAGCCGCAGAGGAAACATCTCGTCGTCTCCTTTAAAATGCATCCAGACGTTCTGCAGACTTTAACCCCAACATGTTCCGTGTCCAGAACCAGGAGGACTCCTGCTGAGAGATTTGGGGCATTTTGAGTTTTTTTTCAGCTGAAATCTTCTCCAATCTGATGGATTTAATCCCAAATCTTCCAGCCTGAGTTCCTTCTGTTAATCTGTTGGGATGGATTCTGATGTCAAAGCTGCTGGTTTTTATTCTGATGTAGCTCTGCTGTCCCTCCTGTTGAGGCCCAGAGCAGCTGATATCATGTCCATCCCTGCAGCATGTCTGCAGTTTGGTGTCCAGCCTCAGTCCTCAGGAAGACGTCCTGCATGTCCCAAATGTTTCTTTGCTCCCCAGGAGATGATTTGACTGTTTTGTCCCGCCTGTAGGACTGGTGCTGGACTCCTCTGGCCACCAACAGATGAAACGTTTTGTTCCCACAGTCAATATTTTCTTCTTGTTTGTCTCCTCTCCTGTTTTTTTTTTTTTTTTTTCTCCTAATCCTTTTCGGCCAATTGTTTCTTCCTGGTTGCTCTCCTTTTTGTTTCTCATCTGTTCCTCCCTTCCACCACTTCCCCCCCTCTTCCTCTGTGCTCCTCCCCTTGTGGTTGTCCTCCCCATCGTCGTCCCCCTCCCTGGTGGTTACGGGTGAACAGCTGGCCCTGCTGCAGTACCGCCTCAGTATGTCCAGCATGCCGTGCCAACCCCACGCCCCACCAGGCTCTGGGACCTTCCACACCTACCAAGTACTTTTACCTTTTCATTCACCCCCGCCCCTCTGGGGCCTCCTGGAGGTAAACCTGCAGCCAGCTGATTCAGTCGAGGATATTTCTCTGACAGTTTAAGTAAATAGAAATATGCAGATAAACACAAATGTGAAATAAATTTAACAAAAAATAAGATTTTACTTAATAAATCCTTAATAAAATTTTATTTCTGCATAAAAACACTAACAGATTGTTTACAAGGAATAAAAAACTGCTTTAACAACAAAAATATTTTAATACATCATTAGATACTTAAATAAATCATACAATTATTAAAAAAAACAAAAAGACATTGGATAATTGATTATTCAGCTGCAGTTTTAAGAAGCTTAAACCCTTCAGACCTACAGAGAAGGATCCTCGACAGCAGGTGTGATCCTGCAGCAGAGCTTTGGAGATGCATCTGAGCTGTGGTTCTGTGTTAATGCATGCCGTTCTAACTGGTTCTGGGTGGTTTTCACGTTCTTGCTGCTGCTGCTCCTCAGAGCATGTTTCAAATCAGGAGGAACAACCATCTTTGCATGAGTTTGATGATGACTGGCTGCAGAGGGATGGCTGGCAGCTGCAGAAGATCAGGCGTGCGGCAGGAAGTGAGGTCCCAGAACTCGTCCAGTTGGACTTTTTTATTAGGACAGGAGCAGAGGATTAAAGGAATGATTTGGGAAAACATGTCAAATTTCAGCTAAACTCTGTTAGAAAACCCTCTGATCCAGAGCTGATCAGGACTGGTAGGGCGGGACCTCGCTTTCTGCTGTGATTGGCTGCTTCCTGGATCAGGTTGATTGGTGTGGAACGCTCTATGATTGGCTGTGTTTTCAGGAGCCCTTCAGTCCATCAGAGGAACACGTGTTGGTGGTGCGCCTCCTGGTGAAACATCTGCACGCCTTCTCCAACAGCCTGAAGCCCGAGCAGCCGTCCTCATCGCCATCAGCCCACTCCCACCCCAGCCCACTGGAGGAGTTTAAGAGGTCAGCATCATCAGACTCGCTTTGCTGAAGGAGGTCAAACACGAGTTAAAGACCTTCTGATCAGATGAGGCAGAACTTTAACACCGGACTCGTTTGGGTTTGGGTTCTCTAGTTGCAAACCAGCCGCTTCAGAACCAGAACTATTTGTTTCTAATGTATCCTAATGTTTCCTGCAGAAAATAAAAGTTTGATGGATCCGGATGTGGATCCGAGTTTAGACAGATAATCTGTGACTTTATTTAAATTAAACAAGATAATTCTGCACAGACAAGAAGGAACACTCTTTGTTGTTTTAATTTGCATGTTCCTGTTTGTTAGTAAACCTTAACGAGCGTGATGTCACTTCCTGCAGGGTGGTGGTGCAGCGTTTCGTGCAGCAGAAGCTCTACCTGTTCTTGCAGCATTGCTTCGGACACTGGCCTCTGGATGCCTCCTTCAGAGCGGTACGTTTCCCTCCTGATCAGACCGATCTTAAAGGACCTCAGAATAAATCTTTCAGCTTCGTTTTAGTTACAGATTCATAACTTTCTAATTCTTGATTAGATAAACAGATAAACATTAAAGGATGTTTAACCCTCTAAGCCTGGTGGTCCGGCACAGGGCCCAGCTCACGCCAGCTGATGTTCTATATGTATCTATTTATTGAAATGAACAAAAACAATGTCACATGGTGTTTCATCCAATCACCTTTCAAATGGGGCTTTGAAATTTCTGAAACATGTTTCAAAATTATTTTTTTCACAAATTCTTCTTGCTTTAAAGCTGTGTAAACAACTAAAATGAGATTTAAATTCCACCTGAAATGTGCGACTCTGCGGGAGTAATACAACAGCAGGTGTTCATTTTTAGCCCCGCCCCCTAATTGGCCGCCATCATTGGAAACTAAAGGCTCAGACCTCTCCATGGAGGTGTGGGAGGTTATTGTGTGACCATTTCAGGTGATGTAACCAGCGTGCGTTACATTAGCTGCTCTGTTATTGTTATTTTCTATTCAGTTTGGTGATATTATTGGTAAATTTCAATGAAGCTTAGACTTAATTTTTAGGAGAAAAGGCTTTGCCTGATGCAGAAGGTCTCCAATAATCTAAATTAGATTCCCTTTTATGAGTGGGGGAAAAAAATGTTTTTTTGAATAAATTGGCCACTTTTGGTGCTGTGGCAGAATCCCATTTCCTCCCAGCACTCTGCCCACTAAAACCTTGGTGGAACAAACATGCTTTAATCTATTCAGTCCAAATTAGCTTGAGTTATAGTCAAGACATAGATCTATAAAGTCTGAGGTTTCATCCAGAGTTTCAAATAGGCTTTCATGGTGTTTTGTAGCATTTATTTTGGAAAAAAATTTGGCGAGGCTAAATATTTTTCATTTTTTCTTTATTTAATCACCTGTAAATCAGAAACTGTGACATTTCAAATAGTGGTTC